GTAACATTTCCGTCACACACTTGAGGTATTCGGCCAATCACAACGCACTGGAAAGTTGGCCAATCAGAGCGCACCTCGCTTTTCAGACCGATGAGCTTTGTAAAAATTGACGCGTTTCAGAAAGGCGGGCCATAGTGGGGCAACAATAATGTACATTATGTGGAAAATAATGTGTTTTTTTAACCTTAAACCGCATAAACACATTGCATTACATCAAATACACAAAATAATGTTCTTTTTAGCAACGTCATATGACCCCTTTAATATCCCTGCAGCCATTTTCATTGGTGTGACTTCACTGCTGCTGAATCTCTAATGCCACAGAAAAGAAATTATATTTTATCTGATTTGTGAGCTTGCAATCTGAATTGAATGTGACAAATTTAATTGCCATCAAATAATGGCAAAATGTCTGTTTTGTCCTGCGGGCTGCCAGCAAAAACAAGCATACAGTGTGACCAGTGTAGTCCGATCCACAAGCAAATTACTATAATTATGCATTTATTACTTTTATTCATATTTTACTGATTATTTTAATGAATTGTTCCAAAAATCTGTCAAATTTAAGGAATTCCAGTCTTTTGCCAGCTCAGCCAGGTGAATCTGGGAGGTTATCGTGATCTGGCCTGTGTTTCCACAAACGTATGAGCATTCTTTGTACATTCAACTGAAGCCAACAGATATATTGACTCACTTAAAATCCTTTTAGACTTTTTTCCCTTTTCTTCTGCAAGTCACTTTAGGGTCAGATTGTAACTAGTATTTTTGGCTGCCATTTCTATGGTGAATGAGAGTGACGGGTAAGCACCAGCCTAGCAACCAGCACAGGAACCATGTCGGTGGTAAAACAGGCATTAATGCTTTGCTGAATCGTTCAGAGCAGTTACTGTATCAACATCTGACTCACTCTTGAAATTAAGCCAGGTTTAAGAAGCAACAATCACAGAGTTTCAGTACAACAAACTTTAAAGGGATAGTTCACCCAAAAATTTAAATTCTGTCATTAATTACTCACCCTCATGTCGTTTCAAACCCGTAAGACCTCCGTTCATCTTCGGAACACAAATTAAGATATTTTTGATGGAATCTGAGAGCTGTCTGACCCTGCATAGACAGCAATGCAACTGAATTGTTCCCAAGTCCAGAAACATAGCGAGGAGATCTGTAAAATAATCCATGTGACATCAGAGGTTCATCCGCAATTATACGAAGCTACGAGAATACTTTTTGTGCGCAAAAGAAAAAAAAAAAGAGAATGGAGAATATCCGCTGGACGTAAACAGCGTATGCTGTTCTGTGTCAG